AAGTCTCAGTCAGCTATATTCCACATGAAGTTGCTAAGCAGATAATTGTCAAGTAATTTGCCTAATTTCTTCAAATCATGGTAAATTTTAGGGATGAGAAAGGGCTAATATAAAGATATATACATCCTTTGTTTTTTTCTCAAAGACAGGGAAGTGTGATATCTCTGAGATAAAAACAATGCATTAATCAAAGTACTACGCATCATAGATTTAGGCATGGACTGCTAGAAGAATGAGCAAATCTGTCTTGGAGGAAGTATAATCAGAAAGTTCCTTAGACATGAAAATAGCTATCACAAAAGACCAGTTCCTGGAGAAAGATATCATGCTTAATAAAGTAGAGGGTCAAAGATAAAGAAAAGGGGAGGGCCCTCAACCAGATGATTTGACACAGTAGTTGTGAGGATGGGCTCAAGCATATCAATGATGGTGAGAATGGTACAGGACCAGGCACTGTTTCATTCTGTTGTGCTGTTGTTGTTATTAGGTGTCATCAAGTCATCTCCAACTCACAGTGACCTCATGTACAGTAGAACAAAACACTGCCTTGTCCTGTGCCAGCCTCGTGATCTTTGCTATACCTGAACCCATTGTTGCAGTCACTGTGTCAATCCATCTTGTCGAGGGCCTTCCACTTTTCCGTTGTCCCTCCACTTTACCAAGTATGATATCCTTCTCCAGGGAATGGTCCCTTCAGACAGCATAACCAAAGTAGGTGACATGAAGTCTGGCCATTCTCACTTCCAAGGAGCATTACAGACACACTTTTTCCAGGACAGATTCTTAAGTTCTTTTAGAAATCCATGCTATTTTCATCACTGTTCACCAACACCACAACTCAAGAGCAATTCTCCTTTTTCATTGTCCAGTTCTCACATGCATAGGAGGCAATTGAAAATACCATTGATTGTGTCAATCATACCTGCATTTTCAAAGAAACATCTTTGCTCTTTAACACATGAAAGAGGTTTTTTGCAGCAGATTTGGCCAATGCTTTATGGTGTCTCATATCCTCATTGCTGCTTCCATTGGTGTTGGTTGTAAAATGAAGTAATATGAAGTCTTTGACAACTTCAATCTTTT